ACCTCTCTCAGCCAGTGAGCGGGAACCGGTCTGTATGTGGGATCCGAACCCTCGGCGGGAGCGCCACCATGCTCCCAAGCGGTGCACTGTAGCAGTGCGCCACCGGGCCGGCTCCTCCAAAATTTATTTTTAAGAATATATGTCAGAAAAATTCCAAGTACATTTGGTTGACTCTTACCATTATGTAGTAATCTAACTTTAAGAAATGGTGTGGCATACCTGAGAATTCTAGGTCTCCTTAGAGATCATTTGGGGCATGAAGGCACGGTGTTTGATCTGTGAATAGATACAAGGACAGCATTTACTAATTCACTGTCCAGTGTATGTTGTCTTGTCTGATCTTTCATCTGCTATGTCTTATACGATAATTTTAATATATATTAATTGTATATATAATTGAATGTTGCGTGTCACACTTATGAACCTGATTTTGATAATTTATAGCAACTAACCTGTGAGACCATTTTGTTGCTGCTTTAATCCAACTGCATCTCTTTAATTCCTGTTGATGGTTCATCCGTGTGTAATTTCAAAAGTGCTCTGTAGTCAGTAAATTTGGAAAACAGTCAAATAATTTATAAAATGACCACTTCCCATATATTAAAAAAATATCTTTAGTAAAACCCCAAGTGTTAGTCAGTACCTGGAAACCAGACTCCCCCACCCCCAGTACAACAACTGAATTAATTGGCAGTGATGGTCTATGGGTTGACTGCTGCCTCACCAGATTTTCTTTTATGTGTGAACTTTATGGTACAAGCTACTTAGAACCAGATAAGATAAATGTCAGCCTTTAAAACTGATGTTCTGGAGATCAGATGTTTTATTGACAACTATTTTCTTCAGATTGGCTTGAGAGTACCACTTAGTAAGGTTAGAGTAGGGGAAGACTATGGCCTTGCCTAGCGTCCATAACTATGGCTTTCTACAAGATTGTTAATAAGTGAAGGCCAGAAAATAAAGCACTGTATTTTCTTAGAGAAGTAAGAGACTATTTTCTATTGTCTTTTGGTAAGGTTTTCAAGGATTTGAAGTTCTAAGACTACCCTTGATTCTATTTATGTTAAATGTACATGTATATCAGACCAAGGAAACGTATTCAGGAAGGTTATTATTTAAATGGTTATAATGGTTCAATGAAGGAAAGAACACTTACTGAAAATGCTGCATTAAAATATGTTGGAAATACCCTCTGAGGTTTCTTTATTCACAGAATAAATAGGTACTGTTAAAAGTAATCTCAGTAGGCACCCAGTGTGTGCCAGGCACTGTGCTAAATGCTTTGCCTGAAATTTTTTAATTTTGTGACTTTGAAAGTTCACATTGTCATATAATTTTGTATTAGGAACATGAGCTGATTAGGTTAAAAATCTTCATGCAAGTTTCTACAAACAAATCAAATGTGGATGTGTGATGGGTGGTTTTTAAGCTTAAACATCTCAGCTGGATTTAATTACCTTAAGGGATAAGGCAACATGATGGGCCAGTGGTTTACCAAATTATTTTTCATTTTCTGGATCTTGATGTCACCAAAGGTTAATGCATCCTCTTTTCTGTGCTAGAGACCTGGGTTAAAATCCATTTTAGGGCATAAGTGTAAATGAATTTGTTGTTGTTTTTCCTCCTTGGGGACACTTTGGTCATTTTGTGAGGCTGCCTTTCCATTTGGAATTGCTGGCAGCTTGCACAGGGCCCAGGGGCAGTTGCAAGTCAGCGTGAAAATGAGCTGGCAGGCTTCAGAAGGCAGAAGTGGCCCAGGGCTTGTCACTCTTCCATTCTTGATTCTTTCTTGGTTAACTTAAGGAAAATTGTTTTCTACTGACATTTGATTATAGCACATCACAAAACAAGTGATGTGTTCATGGGTAAGCCACTGCATTTTCCTCACCATTTCAGGCTGGTTTGTATTTGGCAGCTACATAGCTTTCTGTATTCACTATCCACAAACTCCCAAATGACTCCTTAGACTGCTGTAGATCTGTGTTCAACGTTGTTGATCACCAGTGTGTTTCATGGCTTTCATTATCTGATGCTTTTCCATAAAAGCTTTATTTTTTAGGAGTATATTTGTATCCATAAATCCTACATTTCATGGTTTTACTCTGAAGTATTATTAGTTAACTGCCTTTTTCTGTACCTATTAGGAATATTTAGAAGTATAACCTAAGCAGGGAATAGTCATAGCACATTCATCCTCAGGGCGCCTGGCTGTGCTGTTTTTCCTCTAAGCTCAACTTGTAGTCATCTCTTCTCTATTATTATTATTATTATTATTATTATTTTTTTTTTTGCATTCTTCATGTTTCCCTCTTCCTTTTTTTTTTTTTCTCCTCAGGGCGCCTGGCTGTGCTGTTTTTCCTCTAAGCTCAACTTGTAGTCATCTCTTCTCTATGATTATTATTATTATTATTATTATTATTATTTTTGCATTCTTCATGTTTCCCTCTTCCTTTTTTTTTTTTTTTTTCCGAGGAATAGTACCTAGAGTATGCTCTTCCCTTTTTTTCTTTCAAAAAATATATAAGATCTTTATACATATAGACACACATGAATATAATTTACATACATGAATAAATGGGATCATATACATGCAGCCTGTTTTTTTTCTCCTTTTGCAGTATCATTTTGAGTTTCAAAGTGAGTTGCTCCAGTTTCCTTGAATCCTTCATCTTCTTTATTTATTATAGGCATTCCTACACTACTTTGGTTCTTTTGATCCCTTTGTCTTTAAAATCTCCCAAACCACTTTATGCTAGGAGTATCTCTATCTCTCCGTTTTTTATTTTCTATTCGTCATTCAAATCCTGTTTCTTCTATCAAACCAGATCAGGGCATGGAGAAGTGATGACTACTGTTGTACACTTGTAGCATTCATGTAAAAAATGCATTTACCTCTGTGTGTATGTGTGTTTGAGAAAGAATGAGAGAGAGCCTGACTCTTTGTAGACACACATGTGACTTAGGTTAACCACATTTTGACTCATGATCATCATGAGAATAAGTTATTATTAAAATATTCACATAGCGTACTTTTATTTAATCTTAGTTTTTAAAGACTAACTTTGATTAAAAGTTTATTTAAACCATTAGTGCGTGGGGTTCTTGTGAGAATATGAGTGATGTAATCATTTAATTGGGGAGGTCTCTTTACATGTGTCCATTGACAATCAATGTGTATGGGAATAAATAGTATGTATAGCTTTGTCGTGATGCTTTACATACCTTCATGTTTACCTTTGACAAGATTGTTTTCTTTAGCATTATCTCTTGGATGATAAATGCTTTAAGGGCAGGACTAGGCCTACCCACATTATATTCTGCAAAGTCTGATAGATGCTGATAAAGTTCTTATAGATTCCCTTTTGATAGTACCTTTAAAAAATAGTCTTCTTATTTTTAGTATTTTTAGGTTACTTAGTTGTACTTAACTTTCTTTTTTTTTTTTTTTTTCCCTCTTTTCAGGTGTCAGCAGTCGAGTCTTTGGAGGGCCCCCTACTCCAGGTGGAAGGACTGAGTGACCTTAGGTTGGAGCTTCACAGCAAGAAGATGAACCTCCACTTGGTTCTCATAGATGAACTGCACCGGCACCTGTATATCAAATCCACCAGCCGAGTTGTGCAGTGTAACAAGGAAAAAGGGAAAATGAGGTCGGTTAAAGAGGTTCTTTGCCACAGTGTCTTGTGGCAGTATGGTATTATAAGGACTATTCTGTGTTTTCTTGAATATTGTAGTTTTTTTAACTTTTCCTTTAATGTACTGTCTTTGAAACTTGAAGGTGATTTTATAATAACAAATACTCCGTGTTTTAAGAGGCTGACATTCAAAGTTTGTTCATTCATTTATTGTGCATTTATAATGGTCCTCTTCTTTAAGAATAAATAAGAAACATTTACTATGGGCCTCTTATATAGTGGTTCAGAGACACTGGTATATCTCAGAAGGAAGTAGAAAAATCCTTAAATTGGACAGTGAAGGCAGTCTAAGAAATATGGGTGTATGAACTGAAGTTATAAGATTCTTTGTTACTTAGGGTTATGTTCAACTTTAGACAATCCTCTTTCTGGAATGGTTCGGGAAAGGTTCAGAGAGAATACTTCTCTTTTATTGGCTGGTTGTAGCATAACCTTATGTTTAAGGGCCTAGGTAGGCTCAAGAAATGCATTAGGTTGGTGTAGACATGGTAGGGAATAAGACTAGATCTTAAGATGTATAACACTGGTGTTATTAATATATATCACATATCTGTGTATGATATGTGTCCTTCCAGTATTCCTTTAAAATAGCCATGGGGTGGGTACTGCCCTGCATGCTCGGTGCCTGGGCCACGCCCGCAGTGCCAACTCAGGACTTATGGCTACAGGAGCCTGGGTTGCGTGGGAATTCTCTCCATCTCAAGCTCCTTTCTTTGATGATAAGAATGTTTCTTTTGAGGACTTCCAGTCAAGATGGTGGAATAGACAGTCTCCAGCGTCACTCTCTCCCACAAATCAACCAATTTACAACTATAAGAGAACAACGACAGCCAGGCTGGGGCCACTAGAGCTCAGGGGAAGAGGAGAAGAGACCCAAAGAATGCATGAAGGTGGGAGAAGCCACAATGAGAGAAAGAAAAAACTACTCTTGACAGTTTCGAGCCCCAGCCACGTCCAGGCTAGAGCTGTTGAGCGCTCAGAGAAGAATGCATGAAGGTGGGAGAAGCCACAATGAGAGAAAGAAAAAACTACTCTTGACAGTTTTGAGCCCCAGCCACGTCCACGCTAGAGCTGTTGAGCGCTCAGAAGGCTAGAGCTGTTGAGCGCTCAGAGCAGGAGCTGGCAGAAGCGGCAGCTGTGCCCTCTGGATGAAATTGCTTGGAGGTGGCAGAGGAGAAGAGGACCTTGGTGACCCCCAGGCCAGCAAGACCACTAATAGGTTTCCCATGGACTCACATTGGAGTGAGGAGCCACAACAACTGAAGAAAAGGAGCCACTCAGAGGCTGGTGAGTCATCGCAGTGGGCTGGTACATGGCCCGTCCCATGGGAAGTGTTTGCAGCATGGGCGGTGGGGTAGACAGGACCACCAGGAGAACGCTGGGGCACAGCAAGGACAGCTGATCTGCATCCCTATCAGCGAAGGACCACTCAGAGGAGACTAGTCAGGAATATAGAATTGCATGGGGTGCAGTTTGATGAAAAGACTCAGTTCCAGACCAGAGTTTCGGATCTCTTGAGAACCGGAAGTACCTATAAAGTCAACCATTAAAACCCGAGCTGCACAAAAAGCCTTCCCTAGGGAATCAGCAGCAAAGCAGCAATTTAGCTCAACTGCACAGCTCAAGTACTGGTCCCACAAGAAGTTCCCCCATTTTAGAAGGAAACAAAGGACAACAAATTAGTTCTAGTGCAGAGTTTTAAATGGTGTGAATAGCAAATAATCCAGCACAGAACTGAAAGAAAAAACAAAGTACCTGCAATCAGAGACAAAATTTCATATTAATAGCAAAGGTCTCATTTCACCCCTGGGATACCAAACCAGAAAGTAGGGAGGGCCAGGGCCCTCAGCAATGCCCCCCGACACCTGCAACCAATCCTGAGAGTGGGAGATGAGGGCCTTGGCCATGCCCTGCCCCATACATGCAGCCAGCCCAGCAGCGACCACCAAGCAGCTGCAAGAAGCACCCTGGGCTCTCCTAGCTGAGGTGGTGGGGTCCTCAGGCGTTAGCCACGCCCCCCCAACACGTGCAGCCAGCCCAGCGGTGACCACTGAGCCACCACAGGAAGCACGCAGGGCTCTCCTGAGCCAGGGTGGTGTTGGGGACCCTTGGGCCTTGGCCATGCCCCCCTGACACCTGCAGCCAGCCCAGCTGTGACCACTGAACTGCTGCCGGGAAGTAACCCAGGCTCTCCTGAGCTGGGGAGGTGGTGGGCCTTGGGCCTCGGCCATGCCCCCCTGACATGTGCAATCAACCCAGCAACAACCACCAAGCAAGAAGAACCCCAGGTTCCCGAGCTGGGATGGTGGGGGGTGAGAGGGCTTTTCTACACCCCTCTGACATCTGCACTGAGCCCAGCAATAACCAAGCCACCACTGGAAGCCCCCCAGTCTCCCTTGTGGGAATAAGGAGGGTGCCACAGTCCTCAATCCCACCCCTCCTCCTCCCTCCTTCTTTCCACCCCATTTCCTTCCCATTTCCCCTTTCCTCCTCCCTTCTGACTGCTCTACAACAGCATCCTAGAATGTAAAAAATAATATTAATAAAATTTCATTTTCTTTTAAAAAAAATAGCCATTAGATCTTTTCAGAGGGCATTTTTGCACTAGCTACTGAAATACCTGTGTTTATGCCTTTTCATCCAACTATAAACAAGAAGAGCACTGGAAGCAATGCATGCTGGGAACAAAGTCTTTCAGGTTCTATCCCGTTTGAACAAAAGATGTCAGCTTTGTGTGTGATGCATCAGTTTAAACAGAGACTATGGCAGAGAAGGAGGAGTTTCTGCCTCCTCTCAGCAGATGGGCACTAGAAAAACTTTTGCCAGGCACACAAATTGAGGTAGGGATTACACACCTGAGACTTAACTTAAAGACTGGATCTAAATAGGGTAACTGTCAGTACCTCAGCACAGAGGAAAGTGCCGAGGGGAGTGCTAAGGAAATTTCTTTCACAGTGTCTGGTGGTAAAAAGCAAGTCTGAATAGATTTCTTCCCATGCAAGGATAGATAATGAAGCAAAATCACTGAATCATGTGAAAATATTCTATAGCATATGGAAAAGCGAGCATTACCTTGTGGTCTTAAAGGAAGAACATTTATTTGAAAAGAAAAAAAATTTTTTTTGGCAGTTGGCTCGTACAGGGATCCACACTCTTTTTTTTTTTTTTTTCCTTTTTGTCTTTTTTCGTGTCTGGTAACGGATTGCAACCCTCAGTGTCGCGCCTGGACCGGGACCGGCAACGGGATCGCAACCCTTGGTGTTGTGCCCGCACCTCGCTCAGCCAGTGAGCGGGAACCGGTCTATATGTGGGATCCGAACCCTCGGCGGGAGCGCCACCGCGCTCCCAAGTGGTGCACTGTAGCAGTGTGCCACCGGGCCGGCCCTGCACACTCTTGACCTTGGTTTTACAGCACTGTGCTCTAACCAACTGAGCTAACCGGCCAGCCGGAAAAGAAAATTTTGTAAAGCAAACAAGAAGAATTTAGGAGATTTAAGCTTGGGGTTTCTCAAGAGATGCAAAAAACATGATGTAGTAGGTTAGATTATTGTTCAAAGTAATCGTTTCTTCCTCTTCCACTTTAACGTAAGAAGCGTATTTCCTACCCTTTGATTTTGGAGGTTTTGCCAGTCATTAGGACATGTGAGACAAGCAGAGGTTTGAAATGTGCTTGTGCTGGTGGGTGTGCCCTCTCATGCCTTTGCCATTGCCATGTTGGCATTAGTCCCCAGAGGAGGGTGAGAGACACGTGGAACCAACTCACGATTAGCCACCTGCCCAGTTTGGATCAGCCAACCACCCAAGTGTATGCTTTTCTGTGATTGCCTGCAGCAAGCATATAACTTCTCTGAAACAATAATGGAATTATTAGCTACAAGAATGGAATAGGGAGAGATGCTAACAGAACTAACTAAAATATGAATAAAATGTAAGGCAAACCCAAATGAAGTAGGGAAATTTAAGTCTTTATTTAAAGCATTAGAGAGAAAAATTGGATCAGTGATATGGAGGGAAAACTTTCCTCAAAATGAAGAGGAAAGAGACAAGATGATGAAAGAAAAACGATATATATGAAAGATGGAGAACAGTGATCAATCCAATGATTTTGGGTAATCTAGAGGATGACACTAAACTGATAGGGTTATGGGCTATATGGGCGCATATAGCCCCTAATCCCTAGTACCTTAGAACATGATTGGATTTGGAGATAGGATCTTTCAGGAGGTAATTAAGTTAAAATGAGGTCATTGGGGTAGGCCCTAATCCAATAGGACTGGTGTCATTATAAAAAGAGGAAATTTGGACACAGAAGCACACACAAGGAAACCATGTGAAAACACAAG